AGCCTCCAGGGTGCCCTCCCCCCCTCCCCGGTGGAATTGTTACTGCGCGGGATGCGCCTTTCGGGAGGGGGGAGTAATTTCACGTTTATGGTCTGTTTTTGTTTTGTTTTCCTTCTGTTCCTGCCTCCGGTTTCTGTATGCCCTTATTTGGTTATGTTCCTGTCCTCATTATAGTTCGTTTGTTCATTTCGTTTTCCCATGTGTTTGATTGTTGATTGCTCCCAGGTGTGTCGTGTCTATTACCCCATGTACTTAAGTCCCTGTCTGTGTTATCTGAGTTTGTCCAGCATTGAATGTCGTTGTTGTGTTTCCTGTGTGTCCCTGCCTGCCTTGTTTTACCCCGTCTTGGATGATTAAAGACATTTACTTTGAGTTTATCCCACGTCTCCTCGTTCTTTGTTACACCACAGAAGGCAACCGTGACACTAATCTTCTTTGTCAGTCTGTTTCTAGGCTGGTTTTACAAACCAGGAAACCAAGGGAAACACTTGATGCAAGTGTGTATGAGATAGCAAGTACAATCTGGCTACAATTCAAACTCAAAAAATAAATAAATAACTTTGAATAATTTAAAATAATAGAGCATTTAAAATGAAATACATTGTTGGAGAAACAGCAGCCAACACACGCCAATGTCCTCTCTGAACCGGAACCAGTTGTCACAACAGTAAGAAAGACGCTCAGATCAGAGTTAATCTTGAACTTGTCTTTTACTGTGCAATTGCAGTTATCACATTTGCCACAAGATTGCTCCAGCATGAACTTCTTTTGGCTCCAATTCCTCCCCTCTAACTTTGATGTACTAGCATCAGTGTACATGTGATCGATGTTTGACATGTAGAACTTTGGTATGCTGAACATTTTGGCACATACAACATTTATAAACAAAACATGGCAATACTTGTTGAACTATGTCAACAATCATGACTACTATTTTCACTATTTTTTCCCCTATGTTATTGCTTATTGTTATATTGAGCATTACTATATTTTTGTAATGCTAAACGTAAATACAGTAAGATTGTTATTCACGCTGGCGCTAATGATGTTCGACTTCACCAGTCGGAGATCACTAAAAATAACATTAAAGAGGTGTGTGAACTTGCAAGCACGATGTCAGACACTGTAATATGCTCTGGTCCCCTCCCTGCTTACCGTGGTGATGAGATACATAGCAGACTGTAGTCACT